TCATCTTCGCTACCCCTGGCCATAGTGGCTAATGGGGTGGCTTGTATGTGGCTCGTGGGGTCTATATAGGTAATTGGCTCATTGTCAAAGACACCCCTCGCTTTGTATGTTTGCCCTCCGATCGTCCACCTACCCACACAGCCTGGAAACGCGAGAAGCCCGTCCCTGTCAACCTCCAATTCTGGGCGAACAGCCTTATGTGGCTTTTCCGTGATGCTCCTCCCATAAGGCAGTTAAAATCAGCAGTGTCAGGTCACCCGAGCGGGACATTTGAGAATAATGAGGAAGGCGCTAAACCAGGAGCGTGAAATTCAGTGTCTCTGTGAGTCGCGATCCTCTGGCCCTTTCCTGGTCATCATCGTCATACGGGAATGCTACAGGATGCATAAGGTCGAAAGAGAATATCTGTGCCTTGTATGTCGAAGGCACGCACCTGCTGGCGACTGGCCGAGGTCCCTCTTCTTCACCCCGTCCTACAACTGAACCAGGACATCAATTTCTATTCAATCCATTCTTTCCACCCTCTTCATTATTCTCAGCACGAGGATGAGCTTCAATTTCTCGGAGGCTGTTGACCCGATCACGAGTTTCCCTAGTTCCCACCTTTGTCGCCAGCCTTGTCCCTTGAACCCCTAGCTTACCATACCACCTCTTACTCACAGCCAGAATCGAACTGACGACCTTGTCATCGACCCGGAGATTACCACTGGTGACACGCTCTACCCTGACTCCTTGAGCCATACAGGCTCTTCATCGGACAGTGATAGAATGCCAAGGCCTGCTGCAGGTAGTGGTCAGACAAGAATGTATCGGACTGTCTAGGCTTTATCGATGTAGGCAAACCTTATAACGTTAGGTGTGATATTGTCTTCTTCAAGATTGCTGTCAGTGAATTGACTCGGACTCTATTTCAGCGCCACTTCACTCCCCTTTCTACTACACTCGTGTGAGGAAAGTGAAATATAAGCTGACCTCCCTTGTGTTTCATAAAATAGGAAGGGGCAACACATGCCTCCCAAATAGGAAGCCATCTCGGTGGTTCCTTCCTCAACAGATCAGCAGCAGCCCGCATGGCTCAGTGGTAGAGCGTAGCACTAGTAAGCCCCCGGGTTTCAGCTAGGCCAATGCTAAGGTCGTCAGTTCGATTCTGGCTGTGGGCAATCAATACCATTTTTCCAAATTTTGGACTGGGAGATCATCTTTTTGGACAGAAAATCTTTTGTGGGCTGGAGTGGTGCGTGGGGAAGTGAGGTGGTCGGTAAATCGCGTATTGCAACGGCTCGCTTCGTGCTGAAGTTGTTTGGCAGGCCAAGAACAAGGCTGTCGGCAGACCTTAACATCTACCATCTGCATCCAGAGAACAGCACACATCTCACAACTGGGTGCGGCCCGCACCGTAACGTCGGTTACTCCGACGTCTTGTCTCAGGCACCTTGATTTGGAGAGAGCGTGCGCATGATACCGACAGCAGAGACAGGCCACGACGACTCGGCTTTTCCAAACTGGCCCATCACGAGCGATGCTATTACTGACCCGTCGGTTGTCTTATTTGGCTTGCAGCTCACCCAGCGTTCAATTCTGCACTTTGCTCATCGCGCTCTGCGAGAATGCACCTTGGAGACGCGAGAAGGAGCCCGATGAAGGAGACTTCCATTCTTGTATGTACTTGTATATCATATCGATGTTCCATACGCAAATCAGCTGACAGAAGGGCAAAGTCCCAGGAGACTATGTACAAATGTCTGTGGGTCTCGAAGGGAAAATTAGGGGGGCAGATGGCCATGGCTGGTGGTGTTTCTGGCACGCAATCTCTCTGCTGTGACGCCCCGAGCAGAGTCCCCAGCCGCAGATTCTGGCACCTTACGAGACGGTGATGGACGACGAACCGCTGCTCTGGTAGCCCTCAGTAGCAACGATCTGGTAGTCGTGGGAGCCGAGCTGCAGCCCAGCCTTGGACCAGGCGTTGAAGTGGGCGGCGACGTTGACGGACCCGGAGGTGCGGTGGTTCTGGCGGACCGACCAGAACTGGTCGAAGGTAGCGGTGCCGATGATGGACGGCTGGTTGACGCGGCGGCTCTTGGCAATGGTGTAGGTGCTGCCGTCCTGCTGGATCGTGCCGAACTTGCTGGCCTGCGACGACGGGTCGTAGTTGCCGAACGACTCCACGATGTAGTACTCGACCAGCGGGTTCTTGGTCCACCCGTAGATGGCTAGGTAGCCGTTGCCCTGCGGGTTGAAGCTGCCCGAGAAATTGATGGTGCGCGCCGCGCCGGGGTTCCTGGGCAACTTTGTTAGTTCCCTGAGTGGGATCCATGTTTCCCTCGGGATCACACGTACCAGCCCTTGCCACCGACAAAGTTGCCACAGTTCTGCCACTGGACGCTGTAGGAGCCGCCGGCGCCGTTCTGGTAGTTGACGTTGCCGCCGCCGTCGGTCCAGAACGAGTAGAAGTAGCCGTTGTGAGTGCCGGTGCCGCTCGGGGTGCCAGCGCGTGCGACGAGTTCGTTCATCTGCGTGACATTGAACGGGAACGCAAGGGCACCGGCGGCGCCAAGGAGGACAGCCTTGAGGGAGACCATGGTTATTTGCGACTTGGCTTGAGACAGAGGCTTGGACACTGCGGTAAGCTGTGGTAATGCTGAGTGTAGCGAGGAAGAGAGATTTGGGAATTCAGGAGACGATGTCCCCAATATATACACCTTAAATGTAAAACAACGAGGAGGGACCGCTTGCTCTAACTGAGCGGGGCAGCCGCCCTT